GAACCATGTGATTAAATTGGGAAACAGAAAGACCATCCTCTCTTTCCTGGACATTTACATCTCTCTGAGAAGATAAGGCATAAATACGTGAAAACAAAAACAAAATACAGCGTTTCAGTAGTCTATGACAAATTTCATCTTACAGAATACTTGCATTTCTTTGCACCTGACAGGAAATAGAGAAAACAAGGCAGTTGACACTTACTCAAATGGAGGAGTAATATGGGAATTCTGAGGATGGCAAAACTGGAAGCCAAAGCTTCATAAGAGCAGGAACTGCCTACCTAACGCTGCCACCAGAGATGGTAGACTCCTCAGTTAATGTCTGTTGAATAATGGAATATATACTTGTTGAAAACCATAGACAAGTGTCATGAAGATAATTTGTTTGGGCAGAGATGAGATGCAAAGACTTGAGAAAATATTAGGAAGTAAAAGTGATCATTGGATACACTAGAAGACCAAGCTCACTGGACTGAGAGAATGAGGAGGAAAGTTTCCTTTAGGAAAGGCTCCTAAAGGTAGGTTGTGGTCAGTAGCTTTAGTTGCTGAGTTAGGAATTTGGGATTTGGGATTTGAGTTTTTAAACAAAATGGAATTTTTCTAAACAGATAGTGACAGTGACATTGTTAAAACAGCCTATACATTCTACAGTGCAGGTTGCAGTGAAAAAGAGACCATCAGTGAGATCAGTTCTGATGTTGGATAGGAATTGTTTGGAAGATAGTTCTTGTCCAATAAAATTATTAATTTTTACTTACACAAAGGTGATTTTTAAAGTCCTAGTAATTGAACATAATGACATTTGCTGTCTCTTTCAGTATGTATTTAATTTTCTATGGCATTTTGTTATTGATCTTCATGACTTTTCTGTGAGATCATGGTATAAATTTTGAATACATTTGTTCTTCCCTTATTTGCCTTTTGTTAATGTCAGGCATAGCACATGTGACATTCCTTGTTGCTATGCAACTGCTAAATTCAATATTTAATATTAATAAAACTGAGTGGCATTAAATTCAGTTAACAGAGGGTAGCAAACCATATGCAGTGTCTAATCAGTGATATTTGTAAGGTTTAATATATTGTTGCAGATACGAATGAAAGAAGGGAATGACTTGTGTACAGTTAATTATTTTGAACAAAATTAGTTGTGATTAAATCTTTGCCTTTATGATCAGTTTTTTTCCTTGTTTGATGCCTTTGGACTTTTTCCTGCTTTTTGATCAGTGATTATGTTTTTATAAGTGTCTTTTGTGTTACTGATGAAGTTTTTATTTTTTCTTTTAGATTATGTGAAGTTCTTGTTTTTTCTTACTCTTTCTTTTTTTGTTTTTTAAACTTTTCTCTCTTTTTTTCTGCATTTTTTTTTGTTGTTGTTAAGATTTACTTATTTATTTATACAAGCACCGGGTACAGTCAGAAGCGCGGGAGGGTGAGAGAATTCACCAGAGCCAGAGTGGGGAGCAGAACAGGCAGAAGAACCAAAGTACACTGCTGAGGGGAGCAGCAGGCGGAGGAGAGGTGCTCTTTGGGATTAAGGCCACCTCAAATCTCCGTTAGCTATTCGTAGTATATACTCAGTAGTTTGGAGACATTGAAATGCTTTCATTAATTTGTGACATCAGGATTCCTTTTTGGGAATAGGAAGACTTTAGAATTGGATGCAGGCTTTATTTTTACTGGGATTTTTTTTTTTTTTTTCCAAAAAGCTAGTGGTGAGAATATTAAGTTTGCAGACTCAAGATGCAAGAAAATAACTAAGGAAAGTTGAAAAACAACTGCTCCATAATATTCACTGAAGAATCTAGAAATCCTGAAGATAATGTAGATCAACTCTAATTATAAAGTAGATAACCCATACCTTATAGATTGCTCTATTAACAGAAAATGATGTCTTTTTTTTTAATAATTTTATTTTTATATTCCCCATACAATTGCAACCCCCCCATTCTGACGCCAATCCCTCCCCTCCCGCCCCCCATCCCCCAAAAAGTGTTTCTGGTTCATAGTTGTTTGTTGATTTTGATTTTCACTTTCTTATAGTTATTCATTTTCCTGGTCCCTTATTTAAGTTTTCTAGATTCCTGCTATGAGTGAGACCATCCGGTATTTTTCTTTTTCTTTCTGGCTTATTTCGCTGAGCATGATCCCTTCCAGTGCCATCCATGTTGCTGCAAATTGCATGTGTTTATCTTTTTTGAATGCTGAGTAATATTCCATGGTATATATGTACCACATCTTCTTGATCCAGTCATCTATTTTTGGGCATTTAGTTTGTTTCCAAAGCTTAGCTATTGCAAATAGTGCTGCTATAAACATAGGGGTGCAGGTGTTCTTTGGAATTGATGTTTCTGTGTCCTCTGGGTAAATACCTAGGAGTGGAATTGCTGGATCATATGGAAGCTCTATGTTTAGTAGGTCCAGAAATCTCCACACAGCTCTCCATAGTGGTTGGACCAGTTTGCACTCCCACCAACGGTGCAGGAGAGTTCCTTTTTCTCCACACCCTCGCCAACATTTGTTGTTGCTAGTTTTTTTAATATGTGCCATTCTCACTGGTGTAAGATGGTATCTCATGGAAGTTTTGATTTGCATTTCCCTGATTACAAGTGATGTTGAACATTTAGAAAATAATGTCTTAATGAGGACAAAAATGTTTCTTACATTACAGTGTTATTCTTCTAACCAGATAAAGTGCTGTTTCTAAGGACAACTCTTATCTACTCTTGGTGATTTGTATTTGTGGTAAGGAGGTGCTACCTGTGTGTGCTCACCTGACTATACTATTTAAAATTTCTTTTGGGCATGAAAGTATTTTTTAACTATTAAACTATATGTATGTGTGTGTATCCATATTCGTTGACAGGTGATGGTAGTAGATTGTATGACAAAATACATGTGACCCAAACTACTAGGAATTCAGTAACCCTTTATGGATTTTTAATTATCATTATTATTTTTTTACTTATAGCAAAGGTTACTGTCAAGCCTCACTCATCAGGTCTAGAGACCCTTGTGTTATTAGTGGAAAAACTTGCCCCTTATGCAGCCAGCTACCTTTATGGGTTTTTTAAAATTACAATGACCTTTCTATTCATTTGAGGAGTAGTATGTGCCCTGAATACACAAGATCTATTCTTCCTAAAGGTCGTGGTTAAAGTACTTACAGAAATCTCCACACAGCTCTCCATAGTGGTTGGACCAGTTTGCACTCCCACCAGCAGTGCAGGAGAGTTCCTTTTTCTCCACAACCTTGCCAGCATTTGTTGTTGCTAGTTTTTTAAATATGTGCCATTCTCACTGGTGTAAGATGGTATCTCATTGTAGTTTTGATTTGCATTTCCCTGATTACAAGTGATGTTGAACATTTTTTCATATCCCTGTTGGCCATTTGCATTTCTTCAGAGAAGTTTCTTTTTAGCTCTTCTTCCCATTTTTTGACTGGATTATTTTCTTTGTTTTTGTTGAGTCTCATCAGCTCTTTGTAGATTTTTGTGATCAGTCCTTTATCATTAGTGTATGATCTAGCAATTCCACTCCTAGGTATTTACCCAAATGACACAGAAACAGTAATTCCAAAGGGCACCTGCACGCCTATATTTATAGCAGCACTATTTACAATAGCTAAGCTATGGAAACAACCCAAATGCCCAAATGACTGGATCAAGAAGATGTGCATATACACAATGGAATATTACTCAGCAATCAAAAAGATAAACACATGCAGTTTGCAGCAACATGGATGGCACTGGAAGGGATCATGCTCAGCGAAATAAGTCAGAAAGAAAACGAAAAATACCGGATGGTCTCACTCATAGCAGTAATTTAGAAAACCTAAATAAGAGACCAGGAAAAAGACTAATCAATACAAAGTAAAAATCAAAATTAACAAGCAACTATAAACCAGAGACACACTAGGTGGGGGTTGGGTTGAAGGAAGGACTAGAGTCAAAATAAGGGGGGGGTGCATTGTATGGGGAATATGACCAAAATGAAAATGCATACATTGTGCAAAGATGAAAAAAGATGTAAGAATTATATAAAATACAATATTTAAATTAAAAAAAATAAAGTACAGATTCATGGACACCCCCTCCCCCCCGTAACTATTTGAGCTTACATTGAGGTGCATGACACATCATTTGGGAACCACCAATCTAATCCATTATTTCTGGTGTATTTCATAAGAGTATAATCTGATTCCCTTCTTTTTCTTTTTTACTCTATTATTATCCATAGAAAACGGCAAGATGGCAAAGATTTTTAAATTGTTTTTCATTGGGGTGATCAGCAATATTTGAGGTAATTTAAGAAGGGTTGTTTCTCATTTTCTGTTTTACCTGTTAGAAGATGATAATGTTTTGAACATTTATGTACAGGTGAATTTGAATTTTTTTCTTTTTTGGAGAGTATAATTAAGGATTCTACCTTTATGAAAGAATCAATAAGTAATTGTGTCAGTGTGAAGTGATTGTAAAGGTTTTTAAGATACTGTGTTATGACTTCTTTCTTTAGTGATGCAGATGTTCTCAGGGAGAAATTTTTCCTTCAAAAACTGTTAACCTTGAAAAATTTGTTCTCACTTGATACTCAAATATACTATTTAGATCAAACCAGAATGTTATGGAAATTATTAGGAACATTTGTTTCTTTGGGAAAGGTGACTTTTAAAAAATGGAGTTGGAGCATTTATGTAAAGTAGTATTTGGGATTTTGAAAGATGGTAAGAGAACTCGTGAATTTCCATTCCTAGTGTTGTCTGTTTTGTATTGTTTTTGAATGTGCTCTGAATTTGTATTCATTGTTAATCATTGACAAAAATGCAAAAGCTCCTATTAGGTTTGTCACTGACACTCTTTCCTCATCATCCCTTTAGTAGTAGTATGGGGATCCTTTAGAAGTGGAAGAAAGCACCATCATTTTTTCATGCAACAAATTAATATTAAATGACTATAGGGAATATTATAATAATGAACTTCTTTTTTTCATCCTTTCAGGATTTGAAAGTATTCTTGAAGGGCTGTTTGGACCTGCATTATTAAAAGATCTCAGTTTATTTAAAGGTATTCAAAAGAATTTTTTTGGGCGGGGGCATTTCCAATACTTCTGGGACACAGACACCCCCTTGATTTAACCCTCAGTCTCCTCTTTATTCACAGTTTCTTGTGGATTAAAGCTATATCCATGTAAGCATCTTTGCGTTTAGTTGATAATGCAAATATATGAGTTTATTGTTAAGAATTTTGAGACAAATAAGGATCCTCCCTACTACTTAATAAGGGTTTTTTGTTCTTGTTGCTTTTAAATAATATTTTTGAAATTAGTTTTTCATTTACTCTCTAAAATTGTGACTTAATTTGTTATTCCTATTATTTTTGCAGCCTGTGAACCTGAAAGCATTTCTGATTGGACTTTTGATGAAAATTGTTTCTTTTGTTGCTTGAGAAGAGATAAAGTAAAGGTAACCAAGAAATTTGTCTAGTGTGGTATTTTAAAATACTTTCTCAAAATTCCATTACTTTGTTGGAAGATTTGTAGAAAAGGGAAGGTATGATTCCATATTTATACATTATTTGATAGTGACTCTTTTTCAATTTAGATTTTGTCTGTTGATTAGTATTTCAGCATGCACCACTTTATTTTACAAAGTGCACTAGGCAGAAGAATTAATTAGTGCTCAAACTGTTGTGTTTATTTTAAATATGAAATGTATGGTAATTGAAGTAATGGGAGTCATTTGTTCAAAAAGAATAGTAGTGTGGCTCTGGATCAGGTAGTTACAATTGAGAGAGATTTACTATTGGCTGTGGTTTATAAATACTTTAGATGTTTCTTCATAATATTTAAGCATGAATGCTGTTTATATTCACTTGTAGAAGTTGTACTATTGTTTTTTGTTTATTGCTTTGTATTAAACATAAGCAGAACTTTGGTTTTGAAATATTTGTTAATAATGATTTAGTAAATTTTCTGACTTAAGGTCTTTCTTTTAATGGTTCTTCTGTTTCCTGATATAAAACTATGGAAACATTTTGATCCTTTTCTCTACCTTGTTATACATTTAACTTCAAATCATTAACCAGTTTCTAGCAATTCTTCCATCATTGAATTTAATTCTTTTTCTTTCCACAATCATCACTGTAGTTCAGACCACTGTCATTATCCCTGGGCTACTAAAATAATATGATTTGTTTCTTAAACACTGCTATGAGGTCAGACACTATTTCCAAATAGTGTGGAAAAGTTACCATATACTTAAGTCTCCAGCGGCCTTCTTATTGTCTTTTGAATTCATTAGCCTAACAATCAGTGCCTCTGCACTCTCCACAGTTCAGTCCCCTTTCTCTAATGCTGCCCTGCTAAGTCTTCTGTATAGGTGATAGTGTTTTGTTTTTGTTTTTTTTTTTTTTAACCCAAGAAATAAACTAAACAGATATGATATTTGTATTTTACAATGTGCTTTTATTATTTGGACTAGGTCTTACATACCTACCTATGTTCTTTGTTGTTTGAAAGCCCCTTGCTCTTACTCTTAGTTTAAGCCCCTTCCTTCCTGTAAGGTATGCCTCAGCTCCTGATGTTATTTCAATGCTTCACTCTGTTGTAAATATTTCATCTGTACAAATTATTTCTCAGTTAACATTCTGCCTTATTTTGTTCACTTTTTCTGTTTGAATCTTCTAACTACATTGTCAACCTCTGAGGACTGAACTATCTTTTATGCTTATGTAGCTGCTGTACCACTATCACTAGGCAAGTTGCTTTAAAGCCTAAAAGCCAGTTTAAGAGCTGCTTAATGTTCTTTTCTTGCTTACTACATGAAAAGGTGGTGTTTTTATTGAATTAATGAGGAAAGTGTCTTGAAATTTGATGTGGTATGAAGAAGAGAGACCAGAAAATTAAGCAACTATTTATGGAGTTGAAATTCATGGTTTAAATTCTGTTGGTCTGTTGACATATTTACTATTTTCTGAGCAAGTCATTTCATAGGTGTTTTGGTAGAGTAAGAGTAGCAATTAATTACCTTTTTATCAGATTAGGATTGGAGAAAAGTTCTTTGCTCAGAAATTGGTATATTCTTGTAATTGAGTTTTCCATTGCTATATGAGGATAAAATACTGCATATTTTTTGAAAAAAATAGAGAAATAACCTGGCATTTGAAACAGTTCTCATTGTAGTTATACAATTTTTAGTTGGTTTTCTAATTAGAAGAATATTTCCTTTTGACATCTCTGCTACTCATGAGAAAGCTGTTTTTCCCCATAGACACTTCACTGTCTCTGGCATATATTTATATATATTTTTTTCACACACACAATCATAACATTAATAATGGAAAAGATATAGAGCCTAGAAAATTTAAATTGCCAAGTATATATCTTTCATTGTGTTAAATTTAAAGAGGGTGTGCTGGAAGCCTCTGTAGACATTTGGAGCATTTTGTCTAAGAAGGACTAGAATCTGAAAACTGTATCCATTGTATTGAGGTTTGCAATTTAAGGGCTGGCTTAAGATTTCCTGCTCTCCATACCCCCCAAAAAATGGGGGGGGTGTCAATATTTGGAGAGTATGATACCAACCAACAGGTGGCAACATAGAACATGATATTAGAATCTCAAGTTTGAGATTGCTGTGGTTAGATAGATAGGTCATGTTTGGGAAAGCAGTTTGAAATATTCTGATTTTGGAAAGAAATATAAGTCATGCATAAATTAGATTTTCAGTAGATACTGAATCTGTAAGTATGGATAAATCAGATATGTTATATTTTACTTTTCAAATATATATGTGAAAATATAAAGTGGCTTTTTTAGAAGATAAAATAGTTGATGTACTTCAGGATCCTACAGTGGTTAATAATGTACTTTCTAAAAACATTTATGTGACAGTTTTATGTGTTCCCATTTAATCCTCACAACAACTCTCTAAAGTAGCTTAAAGACATCCCAGTTTTACAAATAAAGAAATGGGAAGAGTCAGACTTAAATATGGACAAAGTCAAGTAACTGGAATTTGATCCATAATTTTAGAATATGTGCATTTTGATAACAGAACTAGAAATAGGAGCATGGAAAGAAGAGATTAAGAACTAAGTAAGCTGCAAAGAGGGAGAAAATAGGAGTGTAAGTGGACATGAACTTGAAATAGACTTTTCGGAATCTGTCAGTAAATACCTACCTGTCAGGTTTGCTTGCTTTCCTCTTTCCTTACTTTTCTGTTGATTGACACATAGTAGACACTCTATTTACTATGAGTAAGATGTCAGGAGACTTAATAACTTGGAGAGCTATATTATTAATAACTTTGATTGATTATTTGTGCTAAGAAGCTGTATTTTTTAAGAATATGTATATCTAGAAAGGCAGACATGAGAAGGGCAAATTTATTTTTTGAGTAAACAGTGATAAGATAGAGACATAGTCTTCAATGCCCAACTAGCCTACGAATTAGTAACTGGATCTTTTTCATCTTTTTTATTAGCCTGTCATGTAGTGTTTACACTGAACTTTTGATAACTTCTGTTTCCTTAAAATACCTTAATTACAAGTTTAGATACATCCTTTCAGCATTTTCCTTTTCATTGTTATTTTAGCACATGGAAAGTTTATGGTAAGAGCAGGTGCTAATATCTAGTTATTTTCTCAAATTCTAAAATAGTCATACATGTTGAATATTATAGGTTGGGCATATTCAATCCTGATTATGTACCAAATATAGAATATACCAAGAATATACCAAAAAAGTAGAAGACTGTTCCCTCCTTGCTTATGGAATGTTAGTGCAACTGTGGATGGCTAATGCATTTAAAGGAGATTTAGATTAGGGAAATTTACTGTACATCACCCCTCCTGTACTTCCAAAACCAAAAGGAAGCAATGAGAACAAAATCCCTTCCTTCAGGTTCATATAATTTTTCTTTTTCTTGCATGTCATCCTTGAGCAGGGGCCATGCCAGTCTTCTCTGTATCGTTCCAGTTTTAGATTATGTGCTGCCAAAGCAAACACCCATATAACGGTATTCTAAAAACTAGTAAATAATACAAGAAAATATCAGAACCTTTAACAGGAGAGGCACAATAGGTGACATTAGAGTTGCTCAGTCAACGAAATGGAACACAAGTCAGACCATAAAAAGATCTGTGTTTAGAGCAATTGATTTAGTAGTCATTTTTTAAGATGTAGTGGTGAGAAATTTATAGCAAGAAAACTCATCATAATCCAGAGAAGGAGCCTGAATTTAGTGCCTTGACTGTGAAGATGCATAAGGACGGGACGTATATAGAGAATTTGGAATGAAGAGTGTCCAGACTTAGAGATTAAGTCAATGTATAAAGTAAGGGGAAAGGAAATGATACTCATGTCTAGGCTATCCAAGCCCAGATGACTTCCATGGTGTGAGGTACAGTAGTAGCCTGTTTTTGTGGTGAGAATAATGAGGTGATTAGCTTGCGGCAGTTTGTGGTGAAAGTGAACATTTAATTGAGATCTACTATTGACAGGGTTGTAGAAATTAAGTTGACATAAGAGATCTGAATTGAGTACATATTTGAAGGGCTTCTGAATTTATGTGATGATTGTAATAATTGAGCAGATGTCTTTGGTGACGGGTAAAGCACAGAATACTCACGTTGAAATATAGACCATTATTCTTGATGGTAGAAGAATCAGATTGAAGGAGGATGGAACCACAGAATAAATGAGCTACCCATTTTGGGGTACATATCCTGGTCCCTTAGTATGTGATGAATGGGGGAGTGGTAAATGGGTGGTTGTATTGATTATACTAATGGACACCTGTGCTGTTTCCCAAAACTGACCTTAAGTGGGTTGAGCTAGTACCCCCAAAATACTACTTTGAGAGAGTAATTTCTCAAGTATATTAGTTGTGGGAGCCAGACTATAATATGGCAGTGTTAATGAATAAGTGAATATTGTGGGAGTTAAGAAATGGATACAAGCTACTAATTTGAAAAGTTACCAGTGACAGAGTAATGAAAAAAACAGGTCCATAAAGAGAATGGACCATTGGTTTCAGTGAAGATTTTTTGGTGAGGAAGTAGAAGTTTAAACAATATTTATATCCTGGGAAGAAAAGAGTGGAAGGAAAGGAAGAAGTAAGTTATGAAAAGGAGGGAACAGTTGAAGAATGTAAGATTGTAAGAGAACCAACGAGAAATCAATTACTGAATAATGATGGGAGATTCCAATGGAAATTAGAATATAATCAGTATAACTGCAGAAATTAAAAATTGGCAGGAATTAAATGAAGCAGCAGTGCTTACACATAAGCACCCTGGCTAAGTGACTGCTCACATTGAGGAACTGTGCAATATAAAGATGATGATTAAAAAACAATAAGGGGGAATAGGCTATAAAATGTACTCCTGACCCCTAGTTTTCTAGTTTACACCAGCAATAAAAAAGACAGCTTGAAGAAAATTAATAAGATTACCTTGTCCAGCAATGCGATTTCTTTTAAAAATAAATTTTTGGCTCCCTTATTGATAAAATTGACTTGTATACCATTATCATCATGCATTGTTTAAGGATAGGGACTTCTGATAAGTGAATGGTTAGATGATTTTTTTGTTGTGCAAAGGATGTTGAGTCTTACTCTCTAAACGGTACTTCTCTGTTTTGCTGGTAGAGTAGTTCAGGAGATCATCTTGGTAGAGAAGCCGGTCATCTATGACTCTTACTACTGTAACTGTTGGCAGTGTGTGCTACAATGTCACAACAGGATTTGGGGAACCATTATCATAGATACACTTCTCATCATTTACTAAAACGTTAGGTGGTGAATGACTTGTATGTTAGTTAGGTGTACAGCATAATATAAAAGGAGTTTAGTAAACATTAATCACTGAACATAGTTACAAATTATTTTTCTCGTGATGAGAACTTTTAAGATGTTCTCTTAAGCAGCTTTCAGATATAAAAGACAGTATTATTTAGTATAGTTACCATGTTTACATTACAGCCCAGGACTTATTTTATAACTGAAAGTTTCTACCTTTTAAATACCCTCGCCCATTTTGCCCTAGACCTCTTATTCTTCCACATTTACCCATGTGTTTCCTGTATCTGTGAGTTCAGTGTTTGATTTTTAGAGTCAACATATACATGAGGTCATACAATACTTAATCTTTCTCTATCTGACTCATTCTGTTTAGCACAGTTCCCTAAAGGCCCATCCATGGTGTCACAAACAGCAGGATTTTTTTTTTTTTAATGATTGAGTAGAATTATAGCATGAAAATATATGTACGTGTACATTTCATTTATTTATTCATTTCATTCATCCATTGAATTGCATGAAAGATTGCTTTTATGTCTTGGTTATTGTAAATAGTGCTGTAGTGAACATGGAGATGCTTATATCTTTCAAGTTTGTGATTTGGTTCCCTTTGGCTACTGTGAAGTAGAATTGTTGGACAGTGTGATAATTAATTTTTTTAAGAAGCCTCCATACTGTTTTGCAAAGTTGCTGTGCCAGTTTACAGTCCCATCAGCAGAGCACAAAGGTTCCCTTTCTCTACATGTGAAGAAACACTTGGTATTGCTTCTCTTTTTGATAATAGCCATTGTAACAGATATGAGGTGATAATCTCATTGTGGTTTTGATTTGTATTCCCCTGATGATTAGTGGTATTGAACATCTTTTTATGTATCTATATGTTTTCCTTGGGAAAATGTCTATTCAGATCCTTTGATTTTTTTAGTTGGATATGGGGGGGCGGCTGTTGAGTTATATGAATTCTTTATATATTTTGGATATTAGCCCCTTACCAGAAATATGATTTGCAAATATTTTCTCCCTTTTTATTTTTCCTGATGGTTTCCTTTGCTGCGCAGAAGCTTTTTAACTTATTGTAATTGTGCTTATTTATTTTTGCTTTTGGTGTCAAATTCAAAAAGTCAAAATTGGTGTCAAATATAAAAATTCAATTGGTAAGATCAATGTCAACGAACTTACTACCTGTTTTTTTTTTTTTTTTTTTCTAGGAGTTTTTATAGTTCCAGATCTTATGTTCAAGTTTCTGATCCATTTTGAGTTAATTTTTGTATATAGTGTAAGATGGGTTCAGTTTTATTCTTTTGATTGTGGCTGTCTGGTTTTCCCAACGCTATTTATTGAACAGACTGTCCTCTTCCCATTGTATAGTCTTGGCTCCTTTTAGGTAAATTAATTGACAAAGACATATGGGTTAACTTCTGGACACACTATTCAGTTCCATTGTTCTATGTGTTTGTCAATTCCAAATGTTTTTAATTACTATAGCTTCGTGTTATAGTTTGAAATCAGGAAATGTGATGGCATCAGCTTTGTTCTTTCTTAGCAATGCATTTTTATGTAGGAATAAATTGCTAGATAAAATTTAGATTTTTTTTCAAAAATCTTGTTTATATCAATGTCATTACATTTTGTCAGTGTAAAAAAATTTTTTTTTGTATTTTGCACTTGGAAATTTTGTTTTTAAGATTTATTTATTTATGTATACAAGAGCTGGGGTACAGGCCAGAGATGCAAGGGATGAGAGGATCCACCAGAGACAGAGTGGGGAGCAGAACAGGCAGACTGACTGAAACACACCGCTGAGCGGAGCAGCGGGCGAGACAGGAGAGGTCTGCTGTGCCATGTGGGTTGCTCCCTGGTCAGGGATGGAGCTCGTGCTGTAGTGGCTGTGGATAGTTTCATAGGTTGTGTCTTAACCCCTTGCACCACCAGGGAGGCTCCATTTAACCATTTATGTGAGGGTTTATTCCTGGACTCTCCATTCTATTCCACTAGTCCCTGTGTCTTTTTACACCAGTGCCATATTGTTTTGATTATAATTGCTTTGTAAAAATTTTGCAATTAAGACGTGTGAGACTGCCACTTTTGTTCTTTATTTCTAAAGTTTAAATCAACAATTGTATATTTCACTCTTACATTATGAGTGCCAGCCATTGTGGTTGGATTAAAGGTACTATAAGAAAAAGGGAGTTTTAGTTACAAATGCTATGTTCAAGAAATTTATAGTACAATAGATAATTATATATAAATACAATACAGCTGTAAAATTAGTGCTGTGAGAACAGTTTAAGTGCATTAGGAGTTTAGAAAAAAAGTGGAATTTCTCACTGCTAGGTTTTTACAATGCTGTTGCCTCAAATGTACAGTTGAATATCCTGTTACATGGTCTTGGCCATCTGAACATCTACAGTCATGGAGAGCAGATAGAATTAAGGAATTGTTCTGATCAAGTTGGATTGTTGAAAATTTTCAGCCAGTGAAAGGATATAAGACACTCAGTTGACTGTGGAGGTCATTTGCATTTAATGTTTTCAATGACTCGTGCTTAAATAATGGAAGAAAACCATAACAGCAAGTGCTACTTATAGATACTGGTCAATTAAGTGTAATCATAATAATAGTTACATACACTTTTAGAGTTAATTTCCGTGAAAAGTAGTAACAGTTCGATAAACTGATATGACTAATTCATTGTAGGTTTGTTGTACATTTTGAATATCATTTATAACTTGATGTGTATCCAGGCTTCAAACTTTTGTTTTTCTATTCATTAACATATGATGGTCTGCTTAACAAAACTAAAGGTAACATTGACATAGAAAATTGTATTAAATACAACCAGTCACATTTTGTTAATGTAAAAAGTGCTAATTTACACAAAGTAAGGGTTCCCTTTAGATAACTGACCTTAAAGCATCTGAGCACTTAAAATGGTGGAACAATTTTCTTAAGACTTGCTGGCATTTAAAATAATAAGATGTAGGAGAGTGGCATTTAAATCAATGAGTTGCATCTTGTCAGTTCTTTTTAGCTCATTGCTTGAAATGTCACTAAGCCATGGGTAGCGGACATAACTGTAGCTATAGGCCCATGATTACTTGGGTTGGCCTTTCTAGCATAATTACTACAATCCTGCATGCAAACACATGCTTTTGGTTCCCTTATTTTTTATACCATATGGTATGAATTTGGGGGGAAAAAACCATTT